TTAGGCAGAAGTTCAAAAAGGAAAACGTGAATCCATCACCTGATCTACTCATAGCAGACACTTCCAGCGTGACCTTGTGATGTCTCAGAAGATCTTTCAAAGCCTTAGGTGAAGTTGTATTGTCTCTAGGAGTAGTGTTGACTGACTGCAGTTATAATTCAGATTTTAGTCCAATTCATCAGTTCCATATTAATGTTAGCTAATTAGTTATCAAGATTGCGAGGGTAGACAAGTGCCTAATGTAACTCTTGTGCGACACATTGAGTCAGAGGGCGAGACCGACTGTCAGAGATCGTGTTGCAGAGATGGAGATATAGAGACAGACAGAGACGGAGAGACGGAGACAGAGACGGAGAGACGGAGACAGACAGAGACGGAGAGAGAGAGAGAGACAGAGACGGAGAGAGAGTGCTCCCATCTGCTGGTTCACTCCCCACGACAAGGGTTGGGCCGGGCTGAAGCCGGGAACTCCAGCGGGGCCTCCCACGTGGGTGCCAGGCACCCAGTTACCCGAGCCACCACCTGCTGCTGCCAGGATGCCCACAAGCAGGAGGCTGGAGTCAGGGGTGGCACCGGGTACGGAAGCCCAGCACCCCACATGGGGTGCAGGCAATGCCCCAGGTCTCTTCCTAACCTCTGGACCGAACACCTGGACCCGGAATTGCGTTTTTAAACTTCTCTGATGGTGCCAGGGACGCTGTTGACGATTTGCATGGCGGTTGTGTATTCGGGGAACGTCTCTTGTTTCTAACTGGTTTTCTTGGGTCTCCTAAGCAAATAATCGCTGAGAGTGAGGGCAGGTTTGGGTTTCAGTCTGTGTGTGTGTGTGTGTGTGTGCACGTGTTTCGCCAAGGGGGCTGGGTCGCCGGGAGCAATGCCGGTTGGGTGTGATGGAGGCGACACTTCTCCTTCCTGGTCCGTTACCAAGGCTTTCTGCTCTGCGTGGAGTGTTCACCCTTCTAGACCCACTGTGCCTTTATTTATTTATTTATTTATTTTTTGACAGGCAGAGTGGACAGTGAGAGAGAGACAGAGAGAAAGGTCTTCCTCTGCCGTTGGTTCACTCTCCAATGGCCGGCATGCTGCGGCCGGTGCACCGTGCTGATCCGAAGCAGAAGCCAGGTGCTTCTCCTGGTCTCCCATGGGGTGCAGGGCCCAAGCACCTGGGCCATCCTCCACTGCACTCCCTGGCCACAGCAGAGAGCTGGCCTGGAAGAGGGGCAACCGGGACAGAATCTGGCGCCCTGACCGGGACTAGAACCCGGTATGCAGGCGCCGCTAGGCGGAGGATTAGCCTAGTGAGCCACGGCGCCGGCCCCACTGTGCCTTTAAAATGTTCTTTTGCACCATGAACGAGGGTGAAATCCTATCCGACGCTGTTCTGTTCCTGTGCTCCGGGGTTCTTTCTGCATCGTTGCGATGGTGGAATCCATGAACAGTCATATAGCGGGGTCCCCGCACGCTCCTGGCAGAAACACAAACCGGCTCGTATTGTACATTCTAGGTCTACTTTTCCAGTCCCGCAGTCTTTTTTGTTTCTTGTCTGTGTCCCCACAAGGGAGGCCGGCCTATAAACTGTGGACAAGGGGGTGCAGCCGTGAGGGTCTTGCAGACCGAGCACAGAACACGTCCCCTGACCGCGCCCCCCGCAGCAGGGGCCGGCCAGGCTGGGGAGACCCGTGTGCACTGCCCGCGGCCACTCTTTCCTGCTATTATCGCACGCTCCCCGGGCCATCTCGCCGCTCCCCGCCTGCACCCAGAAAGGCTTGGGGTCCTGGATCCAGCTCAATGTACTTAGCAGCTGATCCCAACCTGGCGAATCTAAATCCACGTTCTTGGTCCTATCTACCGTCTCCACCCCACCCCCCACCCCCACCACATACCTGACCCCCTGCTGGTAGCGAGCTGTCCTTGCACTCCAGAGCCCCATCCATGGCCACAACAAACTCTGCCTTCACCCAGCCTCACTGCTCACCCTGGTCCCATCGCTCCTCTCCTGCTCAGCTTTGTCCTACTTTGTTGGTCTGAAACATGTGATTGATTTGGAAGACAGTTTTTTTTGTTGGGGGTGGGGTGGGTATTCCATCCGCTGGTTCACTCCCCAGATGGTCCTAACGGCTGGGGCTGGGCCAGATGGAAGCCAGGAGCTTCTTCCGGGTCTCCCATGTGGGTGCAGGGGCCCAAGCACTCGGGCCATCTTCCGCTGCCTTCGCAGGGGCATTAGCAGGGAGCTGGATGGGAAGTGGAGCAGCCGGGACTCATATGGGATGCCGGCATCACAGGCAGTGGCTTAAACCCCAAGCCACGAGGCTGGCCCTGTCTTGCTTGGCTTTGCAGGGCTTCCTAGCTGGGCTACCTCCAGTCGCCTTGGCTCCAATCTGGTCTATTCCAGAGGGAGGCAAGCCATCCCAGTGGGGGTCCAGTGGCAGCTCACTGGGACTTTGATCCGTCTTCCCTTAAACAGCCCTGATGTTGAAAATCTCTCCGTACGCTTAGGGGCCTTTGGCGAGATGTCATCCAGCCATGTCTTGGTTCATTTGTTAAGACTGGATCTGAGTTTGTTTGAGAATTTAAAACTTTTGAGTTGTGTGAGTTCTTTCTACGTCCTGCACGCAAGTCCCTTATTGGATGATTCGGAATCTCTTCTGCTGTCAGTTTCCTGATTACAGAATTGACAGCATAGAGTTCTTAGTTTCGCTGTAGCCCAGTTATGTGTTTGTTTATTTGGTGGTGGTGTTGCCTGTACTTTTGGGGATTGAGCCTAAGGAATCGCCGGCTACAGCAAGGTCTGGATTCCATAGGCTCCCCCACATCTAAAAGCAGGTCGTCTGCGAATAGACAGTTGAACTTCAGTGCTTGTGTGGACGCCTCCCATTTCTTATCTTACTCCCCTGACCAGCCCCTCAAAGGCGGCGTAGGACCAAGGGGTGAACGCAGGGCCAGCCCTGCCCTGTGCCAGACCTTAGGGGAAGCAGTCTGAGCTTAGTTAAGTCAGGGTGTTTTCTACCTGGTTGAAGATGTCCTTGCCTACTCCCGGTTTGCTGAGACATTCTGTCACACAGGTGTTGACTTTGCCTAAGGATTCCCTAATACCTCTGTTGAGGTGACTTTCCCCTTTTATCCTGCTGGGTGGCAAATGTAATTGTGAATTCCTGTGCATCCTGGAATAAATCCCCTATGCCCTTGATCATGATGTTTTTTTTTTTGTTTTTTTTGTTTTTGTTTTTGACAGGCAGAGTGGACAGTGAGAGAGAGAGACAGAGAGAAAGGTCTTCCTTTGCCGTTGGTTCACCCTCCAATGGCCGCCGCGGCCGGCGCACCGCGCTGATCTGATGGCAGGAGCCAGGAGCCAGGTGCTTTTCCTGGTCTCCCATGGGGTGCAGGGCCCAAGCACCTGGGCCATCCTCCACTGCACTCCCTGGCCACAGCAGAGAGCTGGCCTGGAAGAGGGGCAACCGGGACAGAATCCGGCGCCCCAACCGGGACTAGAACCCGGTGTGCCGGCACCGCTAGGCGGAGGATTAGCCTAGTGAGCCGCGGCGCCGGCCGATCATGATGTATTACTTTATAATACAGTGCTGGATTCTATTGGCTAATTTTAAAAAAAAAAAATTATTTGAGAGGTAAGCGTTAGCCAGAGGAGACACGAGAGGAGGGCTTCCCTCCATAGGTTCACTCCTCCAATGCCCACAGTAGCTGGAGCTGAAGCCAACC